TCTCCTACCTGTTGCCAACTCAGCAACTTTCTTGCCATATTTATCAATATTTCAGACAAAAATATCTGTATCGGCCAAAATCGAAAACAGCAGGTCAGGATTTTTAAAGGCAGTTGGCTAGAAAACTGCAGTGGGTGCATCTCTAGAATTAACTAATGATTTAAATATACATTTAGTAACAAATACTTTCTTTATGGGCTTTTATTATGTGATAAATTGATTTTCCACAACACAGTGACACTAAAAATACAAGTGATTTTGTTTTAGATCTTTTTTTGTAATTAATTCGGAAACGATGTTTTTCTTTTTTTTTCCATTTTCCATCTGTCACCATTCTGCATAAAGACGCGTATCCATGCTCTTTTCATTTTCTTTATTTTAAAACCTAAAAGCAGATGGAACTAACAAGCATTCCCATCTCTAGGGTTGCTCTTTCACATAGAATACAACAAAATCTGAAACATAAGTAAATGAATCTTGTTTTGTTCAGATTTTCTTCCCGTGTTCTCTTGGCTGTGGCAGCGTTCTGTAGGGTGGGAGTCGGGATCTGCTACGACATGAGGTTCGCGGAGCTCGCTCAGCTCTACAACAGGAAAGGTGAGCGACTGAAAACGACCCATTTGGACTGCCTGATAGAACGACTGAAGAACTTGTTCTGTGCTCAGGCTGCCAGCTGCTGGTTTACCCCGGAGCCTTCAACATGACGACAGGCCCCGCCCACTGGGAGCTGCTGCAGAGGGCCAGGTGAGACTGGAGCCCGCCTGCAAGTTTGCATTGGCCGTCGAGATCCACCGCCGCATTTAATAATCCAGTCAAGATTCCTTCGCGTCATCTTCCCGTGTGTGACGCAGGGCCCTCGATAACCAGACGTACGTGGCCACAGCGTCGCCTGCCAGAGACGAAGCCGCGTCCTACGTGGCCTGGGGTCACAGCACCGTGGTGAACCCGTGGTAAGACTGCAGGAGCACGGACAGACGGGCGGCAGCGGGAACGACCGCCTATTCTGAGTTTATCTTTATCCTTAAAAAAACAAAACAACAAAATCATTACCGTGTAATTCAGTTAGATGTGACGAGGCTGAAGGTTAAAGTTTTGAGAACACCTGTGCTCTTATAAACTGAGGCTAAAGCTGTTTTAGTAATCGATTAATCAGTCTACTCTACTGAATCGTGTAAACAAAATGGCACGCTGTGAGGGTTTTTCATTTAACCACTAAAGCCTAATTTGTACGATGTTAAAACTGTAAATAAACCAACGACTCAAGTCGTTTTTTAAATAAGAAAAGTAAACATTGTAACGCCTAAAATTCAGTAACGGCATTCATTTGAACGCTTGATCATTTGTAGCAAAAAAAAAACTACCGGTGAAAAGCTGCAGCCCGTTCTGCTTCATTTAACATCAGTACAGTGAAGGACTGAGCTGTTGATTTATTTATTTATTTATTTATTTAGATTAACCAATTTAATAAGTGGAAATCAAAGATCTCCTGCTTCATAGGAGATTTAAAATAATAATAATAAAAAAAGAATTTGAACCTACAAGTGTCACTTCAGGAGTTCTGGGTTGAACATATTTCCTGGCAAAGAAGGGCTTTTTTTATCTTAACATAAAAATGTTAATATTTTTTGAACAGTTTGCCTTCAGTACCGCTCTAACTGTGTTGTTCTTTTAGAAAATGGCCTGTTTCTAGTCTGAGTGATTAATCGGTTACTAAATTGGTTGATGACTGTTTCAATAAGCGATTAATTACATTATCAATCTAATTTAATTGTTTGAGTCGTGTTGCAAACCGTTGCTGATGCTCTGTGTGGCCGTTTGATCCGATCTGAACGTGTTTGGATGTTTTTACAGGGGAGAGGTCATCGCCAAGGCCGGGCATGAGGAATCCATCATCTACGCTGATATCGGTGAGAGTCAGAGGTCCTTCCTTCCATCTGAGCTTTGATCTAGGAAGCTAAGAAAAAATTATTACTCGATACACAGCACTTCCAAGCAGTCTGGTAAAACTGTGGAGTAGTTTGGGATTTGATTTCAGGATTTTCCACATCTGGACTGGAGAAAGGAAATAGTTTTGTTTCTAGATTTTATTCCCTACCATAAATGTCGTCCCTCCGATCGTCTCCCCTCCTTCCTCCCTCCCACATGTCAGACTGTGTTTTCCTCTGTGATGAGGTTCTGTATGTTCTGACTCTGCATGTGTGTGGCCCGACTCCAGACCTGCAGTACTTGGCCGACGTCCGGCAGCAGATCCCAATCAGCTCCCAGCGTCGGGACGACCTCTACGCCGTGACGGCCGTGCAGCAGGGATCGGGCTGAACGCTCCAAACGGGATCACGCTCCTCTAATTATGTGATTTCGGAAAATCCCAACGTTAAATAATCTTGGTTCTCGTCATCGAGGAGACTGGCTGTTAATACTTAGTGCTTGATGGAGTGGTTGCGATAGCCAGCCAGCTCTACTTCAGGACCAGCCTTCATGTGAAGAACGACGAACTGGGAGGGAAAACGGTCAAGGACAATTTTCTTTTCTTTTTGTTGTTGTTTTTTTCCTCCTGAACAATTTCTTAAATTTGATTAGATTTGAGCTCGTGTTTAAATTATGCAGTTTTACATGTGTTTCTCTGCTCTGGTTATCCACCCAAATCCAGGTTAATAAAAAAAATCCCAGACTCGCTAACAAAAAGTGTTGATTAACTCAGAGATACTAAGTAACAGACGGAGCTGTACGACATGTGATTCAGAAACAGATTCAGGCGTTTTTTTAATAGTTACCATCAGAATAAATCCTTCCTTCAGCCTCTTGTGGCTTTTAAATTTTTAGAAGAAAAGGGAAATATCCCATAAACCTTCATTTATGTAGATGCGTCATTGATTAAATCAGACAATCTTTATTTAGAAAGGATCCCTTCTAAATAAAGGGAACTTTAAAATGCTTATAGACAATTTAAAGTGCTTCACAAAACAAAGAACACACACAATGAAGAAATGCATAAACTCCATGGCTAAAAGTAGCGCTAAACATAAAAGTACCGCATTGCTCTTAAGAACATTTGCAACTGCGTTCAAAATAAAAGCAGCATTAAAATAGCCAGTGCTTTGTTTTTCTCCCCCCCAATAGAAATCATATTTCTACAAGGCAAATAAATCAGCAGTGGTGACAGTATAAGAATATTAGTTTGGGCTCCAGTGAGGTTCTTCATTCCCTGAACAAACGGGAGGGTTTTTACTTAAAGGCAGATGGGGTGAAAGCAAAAAATACAGAAAAAAACGAAACATGCGGCTAACATGGTTTGAAATGCTTTCAAGTGTGAATCAGGAGGATTTGAGGGAAAATGAAAAACATGCGATCCAATCGAAGGATAAAAGAATAGTTACAGTGGAAAAAAGACACAGGCGTTGATGGGAGACGTCCTACGGTTACCTATGAGTACTGTAAGAATTAATGTCTGTGTGAAGCCACATTTTTGGCAAAAGTTACAATAATGTCCCACAGTCGGAAAAATAAAACGTTCTGAAGAGTTTGTGGTTTGCTGAAGAGAAATAATTCCAACAATTAACCCCAATCTTTGAATTCAAGCTACACTACACTATAAGCATGATGGGTTTGGGATCACAATATGTGGAAACTTCTCATTCTACACCATCTGGTCTGTTTGTTGCATACCAGGAATTGGTTCCAAATGCTCAAGGAGGTGCTGCTTTATGTTGAAGAGGAAATTGGTGCTTTAACAAGATGATGACCGCCCAAAACACCAATAAATGACCAGTAACAGCATTACATTGTGGAGCTAGCCGCCCAATCTTTGGACTTCACCATCAAAAACCCATTTTTCCTCCCTCCCTGTAGAGTAAGGGCAAATTAGACGCATGTTCTCATTAAGAACAGAATGTACCGTGCCACTAGTGTCCTTGTCATTTCCGACTGGAATCAATCAGCCGGCACATTTAAGAAAAAAAAGAAGACAGCAAGCTTAGGATAATAAGCATCTAGAAAATGCAACATGCAATAATTCAGAACTATTTACATATCAGTGCTTTTTTTTTTGTAAGTTTGTTTGGACTGGCTATAAAAAAGTGGCGGTTGATCCATCGATTAACTTTTCTCTTTTCTTGTCCTTTTCTTTCACACGTCAGTCTCTTTTGGCTCTGGCATCATTTCCTCGGTCGCCTGCTTGTACTGATATCGTCGACCTGATGGACACAAACATTCAGTCAGACATGGCAGCAAACACAAGGCGGCTCACTGTTGTTACAGGAGCTTTCTGTTTTTACACATCCATACTGTGACTTACAAAAGTATTTACACCCCTTCGATGTTTTTTTTTTTGTCATGTTATGTATTTTATCGGGATTTCTTGTGGTAGAAGTGGAGGAACATGATATGAATGAAGAGTGTTTTTGTCAACATCAGCCAAATCTTGCCATAGATTCTGAAAAAGTTGACTTTTCTACCAAATCATTTTACGCCACTTTTGCCTTCGTTCCTTCTAAATGAAATTAATGCTGAACTGCAAAGACTTCCCTAAACCATTTCCAAACATGTACCATTTAAAACTGATTTTTGTGGTTAATTTAACCACATTATTAATCATATTTTTAGGCTTCAAAAAAATCTAGACGTCATTGCGGAATAATATAATCTTAATTTTTAATGAAAATATAAGAAAAAAAGGCTCACAACACAGTTAATAATTGAACCAGCAACTGCTGCTCAAATTCTAAGCAGGTGTGTTGCATAAAAACACTTAAAAGACTAACGTCCCAAAAACTAATATGTATATCTAAGACCAGTTTGATTTTATCTTTGACCAAAACGATTAAGAGCCTCTCCCACCACCTTCAGAATGATTAACATGATCTAACTGAGATAATGTATAACCTAAACCTCTCCACGTCATTATCCCTGACCTATCTGCTGGTCACTAACAAAACTCTGGACTTATGGGAAAAATCAACCACACTCTGGGCTACGTTTAATAATTAGGTGATTTCTGAAAGTAGCCACTTTCAACAGATTTTATTAAGGGGCATCAAAGTAAAGAGAGGTACATGTCACACATATTTCTATTTGGGGGGAAAAATGACATAGTTTTCCTTTTTGTGGTTGAAATGTGACAAAAATGTGAAGAAGTTAGAGCAGCATGAATAACTTTTCAGAGGTATAAATCAACCTGGCCTGGTTCAGCCTGGAACAGCTGCAGCCAAAACACATCAAGGTGGAGTCAAATCCTAGTTTGGACACTTTGCATGTTTTATCTTAATGGGTTCACCGTCAGAGGGAATTTATTTACAGTTATGCTGAAATTAAGGAGTAATGAGGTTGTAAATAAACAGATCCAACTCAATGCACATGATGCATTTCCTACAGAGCTGCATTCTGTACTGACAGCCCCCAAAAGATAAAGGTATATACATTGATATTTAAAAAGAAGAGGCAGGAACAAAGTTATATAAAAGGAACTTCTGTGTGCTTGTGAGTTTTGTGAAACATGCAAAACTTATTAGTCATACAGCTATTTGTGCAGATTAAATGCCGTTTCATGCCAACTCCGACGGCCTGAGTTGAAAAGCATTCACGGGTTTCCTCGCTTCGCTTTCCAGAAAAGTATCGATCGGCTCACCTCTCCGTGGTTCCTCGTACTCCTTCTTCCTCCTCTTGCTTATCTTGTCCAGGTGAATCTGATAGTAGATCCCGGAAAGCACCATTATGGCGACCACCACGCACAGGACGGTGCTGAAGATCCACATGCCCTGCGACGCGCGACTCCCGCTGCTGCTGGCTCCCACTGTGAGTCCAAACAGCGAACAGAGTGACGGCGCGTTCTGGCATCCCACTGAGAAGACCTGACAGAAGGTCTTCTTCGAATTAAATAAAATTGGTGCCAAATCATGTACCAAATCAAACCAATTTGGCGTCAATCAAGTGTGCTGCAATATATTTGCTGCACAAGCCAGCACAAACGTACCACAGCAAATTTATAGCAATTTTGTTAGATTTTGAAAATGTTGCATTTATATTGACATCTTAAAAATAATAAAACAAAAACATTTGCGGCACAACATTTTTTTGCTGCACAAACGAGTTTGTATCAATTTTGTCAGAATTTTTAAATCTCTCATTTACATTGAAGTCTTAAAAATTATAACAGCACAAACAAACAAAAATGCGGCACAAAAAGTCTTTGCTGCACAAACTTATCATAGTTGACGGACCAAATATTTAGTTTGATTCTGTAAATGTGGACTGACTGCTTGACCTTTGTTGGCCTCTAGAAACATATCTTAACATCTTCAAAATGATACCGACACAAACGAAAATGTCTGCGGCTGAAAGATTTCTGCTGCACGTTTGACACCATTTATGCAGGTTTGACACCACCACCATTTAACTAGAAGAAGGACCATCTTCACTGAGCGCCAGTGTTAGACTCACGTTTGACCGTCTGGGTTTCGTTCGTGGATGGGTTCTTGATGGTGCACGACACGGTGTCGTCTGTGGAAACGTTGACGGTCAGCTGGCTGGTGACGTTGTAGAGATGGGAGTCGGGGAGCGCCTGGGCCCGGATCCTCACGGAGCCGTTGGGGGGCTGCCGGCTGTCGTTGATGAGCCAGTAGACGGCAGGCTCGGGGTAGCCCCCATAGGACCGACACAGGTAGGACCACTCTGTGCCTTCTTCCTTCCTCACCTCAGGGATCCTAAAGCTGGCTGCGGAAATGACAAACTCACAAACGTAAGGCTTTTTAAATGATTTTGTGATTATTTACTGTAAGTACATCTGAGTTAATTAGGATATAATTGAAAAGATGACTGCTGTTCAATAGTTAAATTGAGAAAGTAAAATTTACCATGTAGATTTGAGCTTTTGACAATAAAATGAACGTCTTCGTTAAGCTTGTCAGTAGAAAGCAAGAAGCATGAGATGCTGTGAAATTTCTTGATAAAGATCTGCATGGAGTTAAGACTAGTGTGGATTGCTTATGCACCTTTTTCTACATAATTTTTTCCTTCCACTCAACTTTCCATCAACATGCTTGGATACCACACTAACAACCAGTTTCTTTGGTGGTGACACATAGTAGCTTACCCTCGCTTGTACACAACAACTGTGTATGTCCAGTCAGCAGTCTTGAAGGGGCAGTGTTATGTGTTTTTCAGACACATGAAGCCATTTTATTAACACAATCAACTAACTTCAGTTGTTATAAAAATGCTACATATGTCAATTACGGCTTAAAATAAATTTTACTCCCTAGTTTTACACCTGGCAATTGGGCCTCTGTCTCTGTGGGAAGTCATCACAACATGGCTCCTCTATTCACCCATCTTCTGCCACTGTCAGCAGATGCAGTTCCACCAGGTGTTTGCTAATTGCTGGTGGCTAGTCTGAAGGAGCTGAGTGAGGGCGTTGCGGGGGACGAGGAAGAGCTTCGTCCACGCAGGCATTTTGCACAGCTGAATGTTTGCCATTCAGCTCAAATATGCATGAAATAATCAAAGCAACACTCCATGCATGTTTTTGATGAGGGAATAACATTATAACATGATATTAAAGCTGAAAAAGTCGATTTTGCGTAAAACCGCCCCTTTAAGTCCGGTAGACCAGATCACATCTGTAAGGCAGAATCACCAAAACTAGGAAAAAAGTGCTCAAAACCTAACACTGTTTTTGTGGGGCCTCTCTGTTTTCGTTTCTTATTTAAAGTCATTTTAACCGATTTATTTTAATGGTATGGAACTTACCTGCGACCCTGAGACACCTGGTACACAGAGGCGCGCTCTGGTTCTCCCCTGACAGCAGGAACAGGCTGTATCGGCTCCTGTCGTGTCTGGGCTGAGCTGACGGCAGCTCCAGGGAGAAGTTTCCACTGGTCGCTGCGTCTGTGGGAATCCTGGCATAATTCACGCTCCACGTCTCCACGTTCCCATCCCCGTCCCACAGCGATCTGAACACGGCTTTATCGTGATTCCTCCACTCAACGGAAAAGTTCAACAATCTCCCCAAGTTAGGGTGGCAGGGCAGCAGCACCGGCTTTCCCACTTCACCGAGGACGCAGTCTCGCGCCTCTGTGCAGAAAGAGAAACAGAAAGAGATGAATGAGGTCGGTCGGTGCGACCCGCAGCGTGGGCAGAAGGCCGGATCAACTTACCCAGAGCGGCGCTCAAACACACGCAGCAGAGCAGCAGCGCCGCGCCGCGCCACGGTGCCGCCGGCATCGCGCCTTCTCTGGCGCACAGGAGCGCATACAAAGACCGCGGAACGGCTCCTACAGCGTCTGGCTTTTCAGTTGGGAAAAGCGAAACTCGTCCATTATTGACACACTCCACACACACGCGAAAATATGTCGGTTCTGCCTCACTTCCTCGTCCAGCGCCGAGCCGTACGCACACCTTTCCACATGTTCAGTCATGCTGCGGCTTGTTCTGCCATACCTGATCTCCTGTTTTAGGTCAGCAAAAATACAAAAAATAAAAAGAAATAAAAAATAAAATAAATACCGCGGATAGGAGTTAATGAAGGAACAGTGCAGACTCCAGGCTCTTCAGTGTCGGTAAGCAAAGATCAGATGAGGACCCACATCATAGGTGGAGGTTGGTTTAACCTGCTAGACAGCTTTTTAGACCATACACACACCCACACACACACATGTTGGTAAGGAAGTATGAAACAAACATGTAGCGAAGTATTTATGATGATGAAATAAAGCCTGGAGAGGTGAGAAGAACTGTGGCGGTAGTAAGTTTGTTGGTGAAATTTTATGAGGACAAAAATGATCCAACATGTCACATTAGTACACAAGCATGCAGTCATATTCAATTCAAGCTCATTTTATAAATTAAAAGTTCCTTTAAGTAAGTATTAGACATTCTTTTAGTTAAGGATACATTTCTGATTTAAAAATTATTTTTTATTGTTCTGATGCTATATTGTAATTCTGCAGTAGAGTATAACAATTATCAATACAAACCAATAATATTAAAATTTATTAAACATATATATTCCACACATAAAAGGAAATTAAATATGTGAGAGTCAATTTGAGGCCTAGAACTTCGCCTCAAATTGTGGAGGCGAAGCTCTAGGCATGTGAATATTTTCCTAAGACATCATGCAGTATTAACCAGTCTCTATTTTAGGAAAGAAAAGCACAAACTTTATGGGCTTTTCTACTGCACAAAAATGTTCATACTAAAGGGCTAATGATGTTTATTCGAAGGTGGAACCACGTATTTAATTTACAACACAACTATTGCATATTCGATGATGAGACTGCAAAACATCTCTTCATTCCCTGTTTCAACAGTGATGCCTCTTCATATGAAATGCAATATTTAAAAAAAAAAGAATGTCAAAAAATATTTTAATAAAAATATTTTTCTTAAACGTCTGATTGATTATTTTAAATTTCTTTCTTTCTTTCTTTTAATTATTATCTTTGAATGTTAATGTAAAAGCACACGACTCTCCGAACACAAAACAATCTCGGGTTCAGGACCCGAAATTTTGCGCATGCGCATTGTACGCTTAAACGTCGCAACCCCTCTCAGAAACACACGCTCTCCGGACCATTTTCACGCATGCCCAAAACAAAGATGGAGGCGTCTGACCATGATTACAGTTACCCTCTCGCCAATGCTGAGGCTGAACACCAACAAGTAAGCTAGCTTAAACTTTTTGCATATAGCCCTATTATAAAAATACGTCTTTTGTATTAAATTGTTTATTATTATTATTATTATTATTATTATTATTATTTGGCTGCATAGAGTTGCGTTTCCGCGAAGTATCCAGCTGTAAGAGTCGCTCTCAGGCTCCGCCACTGTCAGGTCTTTTCCGGTTTATATATTTTTTTTACGTAAAAAAAAAAAACTTTATTGAAAAAAAAAATCCCTGAAACAGTAAATGAAGACGAAATAATTTGACGTTTGGTCAGGTTTCAACCAAAAGTATGTATTCTACTCACTAGGATTTACATTAAGCTTAAATTTAATTAAATGCAGATGGTACATTTTTACTTATTGAAACTTAACTGGTTAGACAGGATCTAATTTAGGAGTATGAATTGGATGCAAGCCACACTTTTAGTTGAGCTTAATCTGATTTCCTGTTCCATCTTCCTCCAGCTCCATATAACAGTTCAGACGGGGCGTTCACTGCCGTCTATGAAAAAGTGTCACTGCTGTCCATCTCCACAGTATCACTGTCCGTTTTGCGGGCCAGGATTTTTTAAGCCCACAAAACTGTCAAAGGTCAAGATTCACATGGACGGTCATTTTAATAAAGCAGTTTCCTATCTAGGTACGGTGTTTTTATTTACAGTCATTTAAACTGTGATTGCAATTTTTCCCCATCTGTAGGGTGTGTACGTATATGTGTTTGTATTTGTATGTGGTAAATTTTAAGACGTAAATATTGGATTCTAAATCAAATTCCCTTTGATGTTTCAGATTACACCATTCATAGATGTGGACTCGGCTGCAGGAAACGGCAACACTTTCACTGCTTGTACTGCACGGCTACCGTACTTAGGAAAAGAGACCTTAAAGTCCATCTTTCATTCTGCCACATGAAACACACCCGAACACCGTCTGTTCAGACCTCAGACTCTTCAGCGCCGGCACAGAACCCAAACCCCACACAGTCTGCCCGGGACTCAAAACCTACACGGTCTACCCACATCCCAAATCCTACAAAACTTGCTTACTGCACAAAGTTAGAGGAAGTACTGCCTTCATGGCTTAACAACACTCTCCTCATGCGCCGGGACCCTGTAGTTCACACACGCTCAGAGAAACCATCCGAGCTCCAGCCTCTTCCCTCTCCGGACCTTGTTGGTATGAAAGAGGATAAAATAAAGACGGCCAAAGACCATGACTATGGTTCCAACCTTGATGAGGCTGAACCAAAGGAGAACAAAGTAAATCAGTTTATTGTGTTTTTTTTTTAAGTAAAGTTTTCAAATAATTTTCCTTGTATTGGAGAAATTTGGCTTCATTTTCTTTTCACATTTTGCAGCTCCATATAACAATTCAGACGGGGCATTCACTGCCCTTTGTGAAAAAGTGTCGCTGCTGCCCATCTCCACAGTATCACTGTCCGTTTTGTGGTCTAGAATTTTTTAAACCCACAAAACTTTCAAAGCTCAAAATTCATTTGAGTGGACATATTAAAAAAGCAATTCCCCATGGAGGTATGTTTCTATTGTTTTTTTTTCAATTTAATATTTAATGGATTGGGTGTTAAAAATCTAATAAATGTCACCTATTTATGTTTCAGATTACACCATTCATAGATGTGGACTCAGTTGCAGGAAACAGCAACACTTTCACTGTTTGTATTGTACGGCTACGGTGCTCAGGAAAAGAGACCTGAAAGTCCATCTTTCATGCCACATAAAACGCACAAGAACTCCTCCAGCTTCTGACCAGAGCTCAGATTCTCCTTTTGAGATGCCTAGCCAAACCCTGGTCACTACATCCTCTGCCCAGACACAAAGTCCTGTAACATCTGTCCTGAGCCCCAACCCAACATCACTTCCCCTAAACCCCAAAAAACGAGCTTGCAGCACTAAGTTAGAGGAAGTACTGCCTTTAAGACCAAACAAAACTGAGCCGTATAGCCTTCCTCAGAACCCTGTAGTTCAAACATGTGTCAAACAACTTTCTGTGGTAAAACGTCGCTGCTCTCCGGATTGTGGTGGTACATGTGTTAAGGAGAATCAAATGAAGACGGAGGCTCAGGACCATGATGGTTCCAACGTTGGTGAGCAATCATTGAGGAAAACAAAGTGAGTTTTCTTTTTTTTTTTCCTTCTTTTTATTCATATAGTTTTGCTTTTATTATGAAGCTTCTTTTAATTGTGCTGTTGAGAAGAGTTTCTTACCATGATTTGTTAGCTGAACACTAATGGGAAAACGTTAGCGGTTAGCTGATGTTTACTATTGTAAATGGTACAGTGGGGGCAGCCGTGGCTTTTCAAACTTTGCGCATGTGTTCACATAACTGCTACATAATCTGTGGGATTCTGGGACTTAGTAGAACGCATACATTTTTTTTTAGTTTGATCAACTAAACCAGAACACTGATTGGTTTCAAGTAAAAACAAAAATGATATTGAAAAGTCAAGAAGATGTCACTTATCTCACATTGTGCTACCTTGGGATCAGTTCCAAACCGTCCTGTTGGTAAGAAGGAATGAATCGTAGTCTCCGCATCGTAGTCTAAATTAATCAGATTCCCTGCTCCATCTTCCTCTAGCTCCATGTAACGGTTCAGACGGGGCGTTCAGTGCCATCTTTGAAAAAGTGTCACTGCAGTCCATCTGCACAGTATCACTGTCCATTCTGTGAGCGACGATTTTTTTTAAACCCACAAAACTGTCAAAGACCGGGATTCATTTGAGTGGTCATTTTAATAAAGCAGTGTCATAAAGAGATGAATTGATTAATTGTGATAGTTTTTTTTTCCATATCTAGGGTATATTATGTATGTGTTTATATTTGTATGTGGTCAATAAAGAAAATGTAAATGATTTATACAAAACCATAGTAAAAACGAAAAATCACACTTCGTGTTCTAGTTTTTTTAAAATATATTTATAAATGTTTTAATTTTTATATGGTTAATATTGCATATGACTATTGAATTTCAACTTTGATATTTCAGATCACATCATTTGTAGATGTGGACTCAGTTGCATGAAACAGCAACTGTACACCAACGGTACTCAGGAAAAGAGACCTAAATGTCCATCTTTCATTCTGCCACATAAAACACACAAGAACTCTGTCGGATCGAGGCCCAAGCTCTTTTTCTTCATCCAAGGAATTGAGTTTTGAGACTTTTTCAAAAAGAACATATCCCCAGAACCATTCCCAGACCTCACACTTTATATGACTCAGAGCAGAAGCCCTGTAGCACCCCGTCCAGACAGGACCCAGCATTGTATAGTCTGCCATAGTTTAAGCCCTATGTTGCTTTTCCTGGTCCAAGCCTTATCAGTTTTCCTTGTATCATGAAGTTAAAGAAAGATCTACCTGTACAAGTAACCAAAACCTGCTCTTGGTTATAGTCAGTCTCCCATGCTTATGGACTCATAAAAAAACCCATCGCTGCTAACATGATATTTTGAGTTATGGTTATAGAAACCTCGTGTGAAGGTGATTTTTCTTTTCTACAGATTATATTTTGATATTCACATTATGATCAAATTGTGACATTCTGTTAATTCAGTGCTGATTTTCAAAAATAAATGTGCAATTTATTCACACAACAGCAACTTTATGTTAAGATATAACGGATGTTTCTTAGATTGGCATCACGATCACCTAAGACATAAATATTTGAATGCATACTGGTTAAACCAAGACCAGTGTGTATGTATGTTTGTATTATTGGTATTACAGTATAATAAATTTATTACATAGTCATTAAAACACCGTTATGCACATTTTGTGAAAGTAAAAAATAGGAGTACCGAGTATCTGACCTAAACATCAACAATTTATTTTAAAAATTGCATCATCACATGGACCAAAACAAGAAGNCTGGTTAGACAGGATCTAATTTAGGAGTATGAATTGGATGCAAGCCACACTTTTAGTTGAGCTTAATCTGATTTCCTGTTCCATCTTCCTCCAGCTCCATATAACAGTTCAGACGGGGCGTTCACTGCCGTCTATGAAAAAGTGTCACTGCTGTCCATCTCCACAGTATCACTGTCCGTTTTGCGGGCCAGGATTTTTTAAGCCCACAAAACTGTCAAAGGTCAAGATTCACATGGACGGTCATTTTAATAAAGCAGTTTCCTATCTAGGTACGGTGTTTTTATTTACAGTCATTTAAACTGTGATTGCAATTTTTCCCCATCTGTAGGGTGTGTACGTATATGTGTTTGTATTTGTATGTGGTAAATTTTAAGACGTAAATATTGGATTCTAAATCAAATTCCCTTTGATGTTTCAGATTACACCATTCATAGATGTGGACTCGGCTGCAGGAAACGGCAACACTTTCACTGCTTGTACTGCACGGCTACCGTACTTAGGAAAAGAGACCTTAAAGTCCATCTTTCATTCTGCCACATGAAACACACCCGAACACCGTCTGTTCAGACCTCAGACTCTTCAGCGCCGGCACAGAACCCAAACCCCACACAGTCTGCCCGGGACTCAAAACCTACACGGTCTACCCACATCCCAAATCCTACAAAACTTGCTTACTGCACAAAGTTAGAGGAAGTACTGCCTTCATGGCTTAACAACACTCTCCTCATGCGCCGGGACCCTGTAGTTCACACACGCTCAGAGAAACCATCCGAGCTCCAGCCTCTTCCCTCTCCGGACCTTGTTGGTATGAAAGAGGATAAAATAAAGACGGCCAAAGACCATGACTATGGTTCCAACCTTGATGAGGCTGAACCAAAGGAGAACAAAGTAAATCAGTTTATTGTGTTTTTTTTTTAAGTAAAGTTTTCAAATAATTTTCCTTGTATTGGAGAAATTTGGCTTCATTTTCTTTTCACATTTTGCAGCTCCATATAACAATTCAGACGGGGCATTCACTGCCCTTTGTGAAAAAGTGTCGCTGCTGCCCATCTCCACAGTATCACTGTCCGTTTTGTGGTCTAGAATTTTTTAAACCCACAAAACTTTCAAAGCTCAAAATTCATTTGAGTGGACATATTAAAAAAGCAATTCCCCATGGAGGTATGTTTCTATTGTTTTTTTTTCAATTTAATATTTAATGGATTGGATGTTAAACATCTAATAAATGTCACCTATTTATGTTTCAGATTACACCATTCATAGATGTGGACTCAGTTGCAGGAAACAGCAACACTTTCACTGTTTGTATTGTACGGCTACGGTGCTCAGGAAAAGAGACCTGAAAGTCCATCTTTCATGCCACATAAAACGCACAAGAACTCCTCCAGCTTCTGACCAGAGCTCAGATTCTCCTTTTGAGATGCCTAGCCAAACCCTGGTCACTACATCCTCTGCCCAGACACAAAGTCCTGTAACATCTGTCCTGAGCCCCAACCCAACATCACTTCCCCTAAACCCCAAAAAACGAGCTTGCAGCACTAAGTTAGAGGAAGTACTGCCTTTAAGACCAAACAAAACTGAGCCGTATAGCCTTCCTCAGAACCCTGTAGTTCAAACATGTGTCAAACAACTTTCTGTGGTAAAACGTCGCTGCTCTCCGGATTGTGGTGGTACATGTGTTAAGGAGAATCAAATGAAGACGGAGGCTCAGGACCATGATGGTTCCAACGTTGGTGAGCAATCATTGAGGAAAACAAAGTGAGTTTTCTTTTTTTTTTTCCTTCTTTTTATTCATATAGTTTTGCTTTTATTATGAAGCTTCTTTTAATTGTGCTGTTGAGAAGAGTTTCTTACCATGATTTGTTAGCTGAACACTAATGGGAAAACGTTAGCGGTTAGCTGATGTTTACTATTGTAAATGGTACAGTGGGGGCAGCCGTGGCTTTTCAAACTTTGCGCATGTGTTCACATAACTGCTACATAATCTGTGGGATTCTGGGACTTAGTAGAACGCATACATTTTTTTTTAGTTTGATCAACTAAACCAGAACACTGATTGGTTTCAAGTAAAAACAAAAATGATATTGAAAAGTCAAGAAGATGTCACTTATCTCACATTGTGCTACCTTGGGATCAGTTCCAAACCGTCCTGTTGGTAAGAAGGAATGAATCGTAGTCTCCGCATCGTAGTCTAAATTAATCAGATTCCCTGCTCCATCTTCCTCTAGCTCCATGTAACGGTTCAGACGGGGCGTTCAGTGCCATCTTTGAAAAAGTGTCACTGCAGTCCATCTGCACAGTATCACTGTCCATTCTGTGAGCGACGATTTTTTTTAAACCCACAAAACTGTCAAAGACCGGGATTCATTTGAGTGGTCATTTTAATAAAGCAGTGTCATAAAGAGATGAATTGATTAATTGTGATAGTTTTTTTTTCCATATCTAGGGTATATTATGTATGTGTTTATATTTGTATGTGGTCAATAAAGAAAATGTAAATGATTTATACAAAACCATAGTAAAAACGAAAAATCACACTTCGTGTTCTAGTTTTTTTAAAATATATTTATAAATGTTTTAATTTTTATATGGTTAATATTGCATATGACTATTGAATTTCAACTTTGATATTTCAGATCACATCATTTGTAGATGTGGACTCAGTTGCATGAAACAGCAACTGTACACCAACGGTACTCAGGAAAAGAGACCTAAATGTCCATCTTTCATTCTGCCACATAAAACACACAAGAACTCTGTCGGATCGAGGCCCAAGCTCTTTTTCTTCATCCAAGGAATTGAGTTTTGAGACTTTTTCAAAAAGAACATATCCCCAGAACCATTCCCAGACCTCACACTTTATATGACTCAGAGCAGAAGCCCTGTAGCACCCCGTCCAGACAGGACCCAGCATTGTATAGTCTGCCATAGTTTAAGCCCTATGTTGCTTTTCCTGGTCCAAGCCTTATCAGTTTTCCTTGTATCATGAAGTTAAAGAAAGATCTACCTGTACAAGTAACCAAAACCTGCTCTTGGTTATAGTCAGTCTCCCATGCTTATGGACTCATAAAAAAACCCATCGCTGCTAACATGATATTTTGAGTTATGGTTATAGAAACCTCGTGTGAAGGTGATTTTTCTTTTCTACAGATTATATTTTGATATTCACATTATGATCAAATTGTGACATTCTGTTAATTCAGTGCTGATTTTCAAAAATAAATGTGCAATTTATTCACACAACAGCAACTTTATGTTAAGATATAACGGATGTTTCTTAGATTGGCATCACGATCACCTAAGACATAAATATTTGAATGCATACTGGTTAAACCAAGACCAGTGTGTATGTATGTTTGTATTATTGGTATTACAGTATAATAAATTTATTACATAGTCATTAAAACACCGTTATGCACATTTTGTGAAAGTAAAAAATAGGAGTACCGAGTATCTGACCTAAACATCAACAATTTATTTTAAAAATTGCATCATCACATGGACCAAAACAAGAAGTTATGTGGAAATGTTGGTATTCTAAAGATCAAAATGAAAATAATTCATGGAAATAATCTCCAGCACATTAAACAGATATTCAATTATGTAACTGAGTAAATGTAACTTAGTTGCAGGCAGCGTTCATTCAACAAACCGCCACTGTTTCTGTCCCGTGTCTAAATTAACGAGCCGCCGCGCCAGTAGGTGGCAGTGCATCACCGCTACTTTGAAAGCGCCGGGAGAATAAGTGTCAGCTTGAAAGAGGTAAACAGTCCACGCTGACCTGCACCAACAGCGTTTCGCATCATGTGTCGGTGATAAAACCTCCCGAGGCAGAATGAAGACTCTGAGGTTCGTTCATTCGCGACTGCCTCTCTTCCCACGGAGCTGTCAGAGACCCGCCGTCGCCTGCAGGCTTCTCCCCACGTCTCACCGAGGACAGCCGCCCGTCCTTCAGTCCAACAGGTCCCTGGCGCTCTCCGCCTCCAGCCTGAAGAACTGGAAAGACCTCGGCAGCAGTTCACACACAGAGGAGGAGGAGGAAGATGGAGACCTCCTGGAGGAGACGGAGGTGGAGGAGCTGTTCCAGCAGCATGTCCCTGCGGGGATCGGACAGGGACAGCACAGGGTGTTTATCGTCCACCCGGATGTGAAGTGGGGGAGCAGAAAGCAGAACCTGACCACAGGTATGACGAGTCCAGCACGCTCAGTTGAACAAGGCGGTTCCTCAGAGGGTTTTTACTTCGCTGTGTGTTTAATTTACAGCCGAGCTGATGATGGCCGAGGCCGAGGGACTGGTGAACACCTTGGACAACTGGACAGTGGTGGACAAGATCATTCTCTCCACAAAGACACCAGAGAAGAAGAAGATATTTGGAAAGGGAAACTTCCAGCTTCTTACAGGTACTACCGGCCTCTCATCAGTCCTGTCCGATGGGAAGTCTGCTCTGAATGAAAATGTGTTTTCTGTCCAGGGAAGATCAGGGGGACCCCGGGAGTCACCGCTGTGTTCGTGAATGTGGACCGCCTGTCCTCTGTGTCTGAGGTGAGACTGCGCGGAACTGACCGTGCTGAGTGGTTCATTAGACTTACTGATGCCTCTTGTCTCCAAATCCAACATCAGAGGGAGTTCGAGGAAACCTGGGGGGTGAAGGTCTTTGACAGGTACTCTGTTGTTCTCCACATCTTCCGCTGCAACGCCAGAACCAAAGAGGCCAAGCTCCAGATCTCACTGGCAGAGATCCCCTTACTGAGGTGATATCACACTTCATGTCACTACCTGTGTCAGGGTTCTCACACTGAGTGATCATGAAGGTAGAAGAACATTCGTGTTGATAACAGTGGGTGCCTGTACATCTGTTTGTCCATTATCAGTCAATCTGCCCACCATTTATCCAGTTTTCCATCCATCTGTTAGAGAACCCAAAAATGAGACCGAAGTGAGAGTAGAACTACTTCAACATATTTTTTTAACTCAAAAGTAAAAAGTAGCCGTCCAAGAAATTACTCAAGAGTAAAAAAGTAAAAATAATAATAAAAAATAAAAATAAATAAATAAATAAAAAACACACACACAAAAAAAAAAACTGAGCAATTGATCAACAAAAATAAATGCCCATCCCTAATTTATACTTTTAAAAATTTGGTAGTAAAATATTGAAAACTGTGGAAACTTGATTCTGGTAAAGTTTGGAAGTTGGGCAGTAAAATATAAAGTTGCATTTAGCCTCGTCGCCTTTCTTACACTCTTAACGTCTTAATGTGCCCTTTCCGCCGTCTTTCCGCGGTAAAACCCGCTTTCTGTTCCACCTGCAGGTCTCGTCTAAAAAACGACATGGCGGATTTGGATCAGCAGGGCGGGGGAGCGAGGTACATCGGAGGCTCAGGTGATGCAGCCCTGAGACAGCCAGCGATCCGCCACATCGACTAAAGACCCGACTGACCCTTCCTGCTCGGTTCTTCCAGGGGAGACGCTGTATGAAGTCCAGCAGAGGTTGCTGAAGGAGCGGGAGACGAGGATCCGCTCGGCCCTGGAGAAACTTCGCAGAAAGAGGCACCTGCTGCGGTCTCAGCGGAAACACAGGGAGTTCCCCACCGTGTCCGTGCTGGGATACACCAACTGTGGTGAGAGCCTGGAGACGCCACTCGGAAAGTCTCGGGCACATCGTTCTCATTCGTTTTTGCTGTATCCGTGTCAGTTATTATTATTAATTATTTCCATCTGTTCAGGGAAAACCACTCTGATCAAAGCTCTGACCGGCGACAGCGGCCTGCAGCCCAGGAACCAGCTGTTCGCCACCCTCGATGTGACCGTCCACGCCGGCCAGCTGCCCAGTCACATGACCGTTCTGTACGTGGACACCATCGGCTTCCTGTCTCAGCTCCCACACCAGCTAATCGACTCCTTCTCCGCCACCCTGGAGGACATCATACACTCGGTAGGGAGTCCGGTTTCTTCTTCTACACCCACTGGAATAAGACGAGCTTTTATTTCATTTATTAGACTTGGCTAAATATTAGGAAGCATTTTGGAAGAAAGTGATTGTGACGTCATTAGTGCTCTCAATATGTTAGGGTTTTCTTTTTCAGTAAATTGCCGTTTTTGAAGTCTATGTGCTTCCAGTTATCGATTAATCAGTTGCTAAATTTATTAAGGATTATTTCAATAATCGATTAATCGTTTCAGCCCTGTGCTCATTTATTAGAATGATTAAAGTCTCCCAGTAAGCACTCTTTGTTTTTGGGAAAACATGAAAAAAAAAAAAAAAAAAGATGTAATCAGGAAATCTTTTTGTAAGGCTGGCATTGGAAGCAGACACCACATTGTCTGGTGGGTTTTGTCATCGTCCTTCCAAAAAAAAAAAAAAACAACTATGTTGATTAATCTGATTCCAGAACTGCACAATCCATCAACAACCATAGCCATCTCTGCATTATTTATCCAGCAAAGGACTGTAATATTTGATTAATTCAAGCTTTTAATGCTGATGAAATATGGAAGGCACATAATGCTGCCCCTTTAAAACACCTCTACAAGGCTTTCGCACAAACCACATAGCTACATGCTCACACACTCGCTCAACGAAAGTACGTGGCCTTCTAAATCACATCATTTTGAATGTTGTTTTGAAGATTAACAGAACCTAGATAAAGTTACAAGGTGTTGATGAGGCCTTCCCTAACCCTAGTTAAAAACATATTTTTAAAAAAAGACTCTCTTTCCATTCTTGCGCCCCAGGATCTGTTGGTTCACGTCAGAGACGTCAGTCATCCAGAGACGGTGAATCAGAAGGCGAACGTCCTGAACGTCTTGAGGAACCTGCAGATCCCACACAGGCTGCTGGACTCCATGATCGAGGTTCACAATAAGATCGACCTGCTTGGCAGGTAAGAGTCTACGCTTCCCCAGCGGAGGAGGAGCTGCTTCGGTTTCTGCTTTGGAAATTTTGCAATCTGAGATTAAATCTGCCTCTGCTGACATCTTCTATTGTCTGTGTGTGTGTGTGTGTGTGTGTGTGTGTGTGTGTGTGTGTGTGTGTGTGTGTGTGTGTTAGTTATGAGAGCTCAGAGCCCGGTGCCGTGCTCATCTCTGCCCTGCAGCAGCGAGGCCTGGATGAGCTGAAGAGAGCTGTGGAGCAGGAGGTCGTAAAGTCCACCGGAAAGCAAATCCTGGACCTGAGGGTAAACCTCAGCTCTCCTCAGTTAAGGTCAGAACGTGACGTTCGGTCAGCTGGTTTCATGTTCCGTTATGGACATGAGGTGAGCGTGTGTGTGTGTGTGTGTGCACTGGTCCACAGCTGGCTGTACAAGGAGGCCACCGTCCAGGACGTGCAGGTGAACGCCGAGGAAGGCTCGGCCGTCGTCAAGGTCATCATCAGCGCCGCTGATCACGGACGCTACAAGAAACTGTTCGAAATTAGATGAGAGATGAAAGGAGGAAAAAAAATGACTGAACTCAGAACCATGAAGAGCTTAGGAAAATATTGTGTTTACTCTGCAGCGATTAAAAGATCTGAGCTGACAAATCCGAGAGAGAATGAGACTTTTTCTTGTAAGAAACATACACTTGGCTTCACGTAAGAAATGCAAATTGTTCTCGGGTAGAAAACAAAACGACATCAGCTGATTTTCTTTTTAAATCTGCTGCTCCCTCTTGGAATGGGCGGAGGTCTACGGTCGCAGTTTGTGGTTCAGTCCGATCACCAGGGAGCAGAGCGGAAGCGGACCCACAAAATCCCCCGCTATGATGTTGAGGCTGTGGGGGTCCGACCCGGGTCTCTGCTGCTCCACCCACTGCCTGAGACGCTCCCAGTTCCTAAAGGTCAGCGTCCGCAGGGATTCCTTCTGGTTCTTGGCGATGTATGACCTCGGAGCCGTGAGGTTCAGGCCGGAGACGAAGAACCCCTCTGTGGAGACAGGAAACGTTGAGTGATGCCGCATCTCTCCACCTGGAGGCGAGGTTTAAGTCACAAACTTGCTAGAAAAACCTCAGACATTTTCAGACTCATCTCAGAAATTTTGTACACACAACAGGGACATTTTAGAGTTTAAAAAGTCAAATAATTTCAAGAAAAAAAACTCAGAAATTTTCAGATCAATTTTAGAAAGTTTGTAGAAAAAACAAGGACATTTGAGCTTAAAAGGTAAAAAAATTTGCCAAAAATTTTTTTTTTTTTTAGATGAATCTCAGAACTTTTCAAGAAGGAAAACTTGGAAACTTCTGACTTTCATATGTCAAAGATGTCCAACTTTTGGATGTTTTGAAAAGTCACAGTTGCTAAAGTTGCTATAAAAAAACCTGACATTTTCAGATTAATCTCAAAAATCTTCTAAAAACAATAAGGACATTTGAGTTTCAAAATTCAAAAATTTGCTCACCAAATTTGCTTCAGATTAATCTCAGAAAATTTAAAAACAATAAAACAAAAAGATTTCAATGTTTTTTCTAGAAAATGTAAAAAAAAAACTTGGTGGAAACGTCCTCATTTTGTTTTCCATCTCCAAAGTCCCTGATCCGCCGCCGTCGCAGCAGACCGACTCACCTGGTCGTCCCATGTCTTTGTTCCAGTCCAGGTAGCGGATCACGTCTTGTGCCGTTGTTTTATTCGCCCACCAGTACGGTATGGCGGGCCACAGCTGCGGGTGTCTGGCCACCAGCTGGGATTCGTAGGACAGGATGACCTGGTAGCCGGACGCCCAGAGCCTCCGCAGGCTCAGGACCGGCTCCTGTTCGGGGGACAGAGGACACGGTGAGGCGGCGTCTGGTGTTCAGAGCCAACGTCAGCAGCATGAAGAGGGAGCCCACCTTCCGGGGACACAGCTTTGAGCCGAACAGCTTCTTCAAGTGGGTAATGAACAATTCGTGGCACGCGTCGTCCATTCCCTCAAAATGGCTGCAGGCCAGGATGACGACCTCCTTCGGGTGAGAGTTCAGCCAGTGCTCGACGCATTCCAGAGTTTTCTGTGGAGTGGGAGCCAGTTATGGTGGGAAGCCGCGATGAACGAGAGCTGCCGACGTGACCGGAGCTCACCAGAACTGTCAGGTGCGTGTATATGACGTGTGTGAAGTAGAGGTCGTCAGACGGGTCGTTGGGTTTGTGCGCAACGCGGAGATCGAAGAACCGGATTCCCTTCGACAGCTGCTCCTCGATGCTCTTGTCCTAAACACAAGAACGAAACTCCATGTTTGAATTCAGCCTCCTGATCGGATTTAGATCCAAAATTTTAAAGTAAAATCCGATATATATAGAATTTTTTTCCATACCAGAAACATTTCCTACGATGCTGTATTAATAGCTAAAAACTAAACAAACTAAAGAAAAACTAATCAGTCAACTCTGCAGTTTCTCTAATCTCCGTGGAATGTCCTCTCTCGCTGTTGTGGTTCTCAGCCTGTGAACTCTGACCTCTGGTTTTCAGCCCCTGTTCTCTCTGAGAACATCGAACAAACGATCACATTCTGCTCTATCTGCGTCTTCTTAAACTTTGGATCATCTCAACTTGAAAACCGTCATGACAGTCATGTGACTTCTGGCTCCAAAACGCTGATATCAGTGACTCCCTCATCTCCGTACTGCAGGTAAGATCAGTTTAAAAAAAAAAAAAAAGAAAAAAAAGGTTGTTTCTTGATGAGATCAAGGCAATTTAAATTTTTGCACTAATAATGTTTTTTTTCATATTTCCTCACCTAACAAAGATAAATCTATTCTGTCGGGTTTTTCTGGAACAGATCGACACAAAGCAGTGCAGGATTTGAAGTGGAAGGAAAGCGATGTGCGGATTTTGTGAAATTTCACACGTAAAAATCTGTAAAGTGTGGCATGCTTTTTGTAGCAAGGTTACTTTAGTTTTTGTCAACTGATAAAAATAAAAATTGTAATTAATGAGGGAAAAACTATAACAGGAACTATATTGTGCGTTTATAAAATTAACTAAAACTTACTAAAATTCTGCTTTCATGTTTATAAATCTATTTATTAGCATTTCGAATTGAAGTGAAATTGATTTTTGTCCACACACAACCAGTTCACCACTTCATACCTGCCTGTGCTTCTGTCTGGTAGTGAATATTAAACAGTGGATAGCATCTTCAGAAAATTGATTCAATTATTATTAATGACCATGTTTGCCCCCAACTGTTTCTGTCGCCATTTCATGGACTTGTCTGCTGAGGTGAATATAGTTTTATTTACCTACAATTTGCTGTGCAGTCCTTTGGCTAGTTCAAATGAAATAACTTAATGGGATTAAATAAAATTTGAAGTGATGTGCCAAGCAAGTGGAGCCATGGTTACCGTTGCCAGGAAACATGAAACCAGCCACATGGCTGGTTTCATGTGGCTGGCTGGTTCTTCTGATCTTCTGGTTCAGAAGAACCAGAAGATCTTCAGGTTCTTCTGCCTAAAGAACCTGAAGATCCTGTCCAACCAGAACCATAACTGAGCCCGGCGTCTCATCCACCCAACCAACACCTCAGATAACCCACTTTTGAACGCCTTCAAGAGGAAACAGAGTTACTGATGGGACCAATGGGAAGGCTTGGTCTTGATCCAAGAGATTAACGGTATTAAAATCTCTGGGACTGAAAGTGTTTGATTCATTAAGAGTCTCAGTGAATGTGGAGAAACAAAGACCTGTCAGAAAGAGATTCCTCTTCGTCTGGAAGAAATGATGCGTCTGACCTCTTAAAGCTGCGCCGTGTGAATTATTTTACTGATTAAAAGCAAAATGTTTCAGAAAAAAAAAAAAAAAAACTTTTGTTCTGAGATTAAATGGCACTTCATGTTTGTTTTTTCTGGGGGAAATAAGACATTATTTGTAATAAACTTTAAAAGCACTGCTTAGAGTTGCTTTTCATAAAATCTCCATTAAACACGTTGAGGTTTGTGTCGTAACGTTTCTAAAACTTGATCAAAACTAAATTAAAACTTAAGGAGAAGATGAAAACCGAGACGTCCTTTCTTGAAGATGAACTCTGAACACGTTGACTGGTCGTTTTTTGATTTTTTTTTTTTTGTTACTCCACATTTCTTTGTACCTGTGTGGTGGCCCATTTAAAGATGAGAGGCCTGGTGACGCAGTAGAAAAGTCTGTCCAGGAGCCAGAAGCAGTCCGACTCGGACCGGAGCAGGGGCGACGTTATGTCCAGACAGTAACTCATGGCATCATGGCTGCCTGTTGTGAACGAGACGCCAACGCAACATTTGAGACTTCCAGGAACGAGAAACGGGTTTGTAAAATGACGTCACCTCAAACTGGAACAGCAGGACGAAAGAAACACTTCTGTGTTATTTTTAGTCTCACTCGAAGTTATTTTTGGTGATATCTGACTGCTAAACCATTATATTATTATAAAATATATAATGGGCTTCAAAACAAAAGGTAATTTCTATTTCCTTGAATGACCAAGAGTTCTTTTTTTTTTGTGCAAATGTCATTTTTTAGAGCACAATTCTCTCTCAATAAAATTACCGTTAAAGATGACACCCAGTGGTGTTTTTCTGTTTTTCTTTTTGTTAAAAAAAACCCTTAACCTAGCAGCAGATAAACAGTTGGGTTTGTATGCATTTGGTTATATGCCTGTTTGAATCATTAAATTTGATTGGTTGTGATGTATATCTTTATGAACACTGAAGAATTTTGATAATGAACTTTGACCATTCCAGTCTGCCCTGATTATCTTGTCAAGCCTCTTCAACGAGTTGACAAAGTTTCCTTAAAACAGCTACGATGAAAACGAACATTTTGTTCCACCCGTACTAAATACAAGAGGCTTTTGATTTGATATTAAAAAAAAAAACACCACCAACAACCACATGCAAATAAGGATGAAAAACACAGACATTTTGAGAGGAATGCTAATCAGATGCCAAGGTCATGACGTCATACAAGGTTTGTGGAAACCTTTTGTTTGAGAGAGCAATTGTTATCTTTGTTAAATGCATATTGTCATCAGAACAGAAGAAAAACAATGGAACAACTTATCAACATACAACTAAAAAGACTAATAAATTTCAATGATGTGTACCTTGTACTTTTAATACCCCATAAATGTCAGCATTTAAACACCACCGGATCTAGTGGATGTCTAGTAACATGAACAAACTTCAAATAAATGGCAGACTACGACAGTAATAACCCTTTCAAGATAAAAATAAATATAAAACAGCACAAGCAATTCAAATGAAAACTTAAAGAAGGGATGTTTTATGTTCAGCCGTTGAGTAAAAGGACTTCCCATTCCTGAACGAAGCTTTGTAAAAGGGAGAATTTTGCATCGATAGCAAGACGATTAAATTCAAGCATATAAATAAAACTGCTATTTAAAAGAAAGAAAAAAAAATCCGGATTAACATTAAAAATAATCTACAACACCAGAGGATAACTCCTACTGCAGCCTGCGGGGTTCAGTGTGAAGTGAGAGTGACCTACCGGGTATCGCCAGCTCCGTCAGGGGAACGTCCCACAGCTCCTCCGGCAGGTCGGACATCCAGTCCTGGTTGTTGACATCCATGTCGAGCCGTCGGTATCCGAGCTGCGGCTCTGAGCAGCCACTTTTACCGTGGGTCACATGGTTTATCTGCTTCCCTCCACCTGATTCCTCAAAGCCATCGACCACAAAACAGCAGCGGCGGCAGGACGAAACCGAAGGAGGGAGGAGAAACTCGCAGTTTCCTGGTTTTTACTGACCAATGGCAGAAAAAGCGCCACCAGAGGGCGCACGTTCAAAAGAATGAAATAAAACAGCTGGAACTGGGATCGTTGGTAGTCGGCCATTTCTCCACAGAGGAGTCAGTGTATCGAAAAATACGATAATTATATCACATTATAGCTATATAATATATTGTTTTAATCCTTGGTGATCCCAGGATTAAGTTAATTATCATATTATTGGTGATAAAACTATCACAAATAATGTGATTAGGTCATCCTAATATATTTTTATTTAATGATATATGTAAAAATATTTTATATAAATAATTTGAGCATTACGTGTAGCTGCACTAAACTCTTGTAAGAGATAAAACTGTCATTCTTGGTTCTGCACACCAAACCCAAAAGCCACCGGAGGATTTCAGTTCTTTTTATTAAGTTATGATGCTGTGGCAGAACTCGAACTTTCTTGTGTAAAAAATAACAAAACAGCCTCAAGACATATTTCAACAACTTACTACTCTATAAATTCATTTTTGTAACCTCCCCCTACAATTATTTTTTTTCTTTTTGTAATTATTACTTTTTAAATTTGTGATCTTAAATTCAATAAGGTTTGGATTATGTTTATGAGTTTTTTACAGACTTTGCTAGAATTCCTTGGAGACATGTTTTAGTAAACCATACATGAGACATTCTGCTGCTTTGATTTCGAAGATGCTTTATGTAAAACAAAATGAAGGTATGATAATCTTGTCCTTTCATCTACACTTTTTTTAGTCTACACTTTTGTGTTCTTGCCATTGATGAAAATTTAAATATTGTTCTGTACTTGTTTTGACTTGTGTAAGGAAAAGTTAAAACTGACCAATAAATAACAAATAAATAAATAAATACCTAGTTCTGATTGAGGTCTCAGCCTGTTAAGTCAGTTCTTCCTTCCCACTGGCGCCACATGCCTCCTCAGGACGCTTCCACACACAGATCACTTTCCACCTGCTTTAATTATACATTTCTGTATATAAAGTGGGTGTTTGTCTTACATAAGTGCCTTGAGATGACAATTGTTGGAAACTGGTGCTAATATAAGCAACAACCTAAATAACCAAGAGGACTGAAATAACGCATCTTAATCTAAATAAATTAATTAAGAGACATAAATAAACTTCATGGATTGTAACAAATAATCAGCTCTCCAACAGTTCAATAATGGATAATCTCTCTTTTAGTTTCCCCTTCACTTATTCCAGACCTGAATGTTTCTTTAGGGATTACTGAAGTTTGAACAGCTCGTCTCCACAGGCACAGCGGTGCAGCGTTCACTTCTGGAGGTTAAAAGCTATTTTTAAAAACAGAACAATCAGTGCCGTGTTCATGCAAAGAAATCCTTTTCATGCATTTTTGCATATAAACTTGCATAAATAGTTTCCACATGATGCAACCCCACGTCTTACAGTTGACGTGTCAAAGCTTTGACTGGCATAACTGCTCAAAAATGTTATTTTTTTACCTCTACGAGTCCTCGGTGAGAGCAGAGTTTGTGCTTCCTGTGGCGGGGGAGTGGGAGGTGGAGTTCAGTTGTGCCGTTATTGCTTCGGTCAGCAAGTCGTCAAACCCACTGCTGACTTGTGAAAACCAATACGGTGTGTTGCATAAAGCGCAAACTGAATGTAAACAAAGAAGTTCGGGTCAGCGCATTAAAAAAAAACAAAAAAAAAACAGTCTGCTTGAACTGAAATGTGCACGCCGCTGCATCCCCGTAAGTGCATTTACGGTCAAATAAATAATTCAAGAGGTAAAAAAAAAAATGTTTTCATCAATCCGATCAAAACAAACTTGTGTAACGACTTTACATGCTCTGATGTCTGCCCTGCTTCTGCAGACGCTCTGCGCTTTTTCTAGAGAGAGAAGTCATGAGGACCACTTCAGCAGCTTCTCGTTCAGCGTGACGACGGTGGGTGCGAAGTGGCTCTCTGTGATGAAGTCCCCGGCGATGATGTTGAGGGAGCCCGCTCTGGGGCCGGGCGTCTGCTCCCTGACCCAGCCGAGCAGCGCTGGGTACGTGGACATCACCAGGTCCTTCAGGGACTCGGTGGGGTGGGTGCAGATGTACTTCAGGTCCTCCGTCAGGTTGATCCCGGTGACAAAGAAACCGCCTGGAAAAGAAAAAAAAAAAACATGCATTAAGTGCTTGTTGTGCGGGCAACCTAAATGGTTGCCATGGGAGATTAAAGGATTCAAAAGCTCAAAAACGTAAATTTTACATAATTCTACTCCTTTAATGTTTTCAAATAGTTTAAGCTAAATCCTTCAGCTGACATTGTTCGCATTGAGTTTCTGCAGAAAATGCCATCTTTTCAGCGTTTTGCACACGTTTTCACTCTTGCAGGCTTAACAATAGGCAGGTTACCTGGTCTACCGTGTTGCTTTCTGGCCTCAAACTCCTCGATGAGCGCCTCGGCTTTGCACTTGTTGGCCCACCAGTAGGGAATGTGAGGCCACAGGTCGCTGTGGGAGCTGGAAATGCTGTGTTCGTAGGACACAATCACCTGGTAGCCCAAAGCCCACAGATTTCGAAGAGTTAGCACCTCCTGAAACCGAGAAGTTCTCATCAAGTTCCTGTGAAGGAATGACGCTTTGGATTTTGTAGACAAGTAATCAAAAGACAAAACAATGAAAGAGTATTGAGCTTTCAGGGGGAGGGGGACAACAAAAGCATGAAAAAAGTTAACTGTACCGTTTTAGGGCAGAGTTTGGAGGCGAATGTGTTGCGAATGTTGGTGAGCAGCCGGATGTGGAGCTCCTGGTTCAGACCGAGGAAGTGGCTGAAGGACAGAAGCACCACCTCTTTTGGATGAGCGTCCAGCCATTCCTTTATCTCCGAGAGGACGGTCTGTCAACGAGAAGACATCGTTTAAAGGGGCAACGCTTTTCTGTGAAAGCTCGGTACCGGTAGCATCATGCTGTGGGGATGCTTTCTCAGCAGAGACAGGGGGAGACGGAGTTCAAGGTCAACAATTGAAAACTGGAGAGAGAGTTTGTTTTTCCCAATAGATTTTAGTACAGTAAGGTCACAATGTAGTGATATTATTGTCATATATTTGTACTGTTAAAGGGACAGTACAAGAAAAACTGTTGTAAATTTTTAACTCAAAACTTAGCATTTTGCCAAAAAGATGGTTTGGCAACAAAAGGGAGCTGATGGCAAAGACAAATGTCCAGCCAATTTGCATTTATCCATGATACAGGGGGGGGGGAAAAAGCCGACTAGCTAGCTAGCAAGGGTTTTAGCATCTAGTTAGCAGTATCCTCAAACGTTAGCATGACAGTAAAGTCCGGCAAGAAAATAAAAAAAAATTGTTCAAATATATTGAATATTCCTGCCACATGATTATTGTACTGAAGGCCGAGTTACATTTTTTAAATGAATTTAAAACATTGTTATTGTTTTATTAATTTTAGATGCGTGAATTAAAGACTTTGTAAGGACGTGTGGACACTGTTAAAAAGTCACGGCTTCGGATTTCTTCGTCCTGCGGTACATTCACGCATAGAGACCTGTAAATGAGAAAACGTGTCTAAAGTTGTGCTTTATACTGTGGACTAATTTCCAACATTGAAAATATGGGCAAAAATATGCAGACGCTAGATTCTTCGACGCTTTCCGTTTCAACTCCCGCCTCTCGGCTATTTGCTGCATGTCTCTCTGTCCTTCTCCCTGTCCAGTCTCTAATGAATACAGGTCACTAAAGCCACAAAACTCTGAAAAATATTAGTAAAATAAAAGAGGTAAAACGGAAAAACCTTCAGGTAAAAACCGCAACGATGTGAATACAGAAACGTAAACCCTGCAGACTCCCTCTCCGGAACATTCAGCTGTTGGGTATCGATAAATCCAGCCTGCGGGCGGAGGAGCTTGTAAAACCAGGCTGACGTCGCGCTAAGAGGCTCTTCACTTCCCTTATCTTTGGGTTTTTAGGGCAAACTCAGCAAGCCTCGGCTCGCTGGAGGTGGTTTACAACCCGAGGGGCGGTGCGCCTCTTGAGGTTACCTCGACGGTGAGCGTGGTGTAGACGCCGTGGTAGAAGTACAGGTCCGTGGAGTGGTCGTTGGGTCTGTGTGCGATTCTCAGGTCGCAGTATCTAACCCCGCAGTCCAGCTGCTGCTTTATGGTGAACTCCTAAAAACACACACAGGATTTCTCAGTGCTAGAGCTGTTACTCATCTCTAGCTGGGTGCGCTACATCCCAGCTTTATTACCTGCGTTATCGCCCACTTGTACACAAAAGGGCGAATGAGGGGCTTCATGTATTTGTCCAGCTTCTGGAGCATGTCCGGCTGCATGGGGTCCACGGGAGACCGGTCGTTCATGTCCAGGCAGTACGTTACGGCGTTGTGGCTGCCTGAGTGGGAAAACGGAGAAATGCTGTGGGCGATTGGTTCGTGAGCGGAGGCCTGCAAGAACTAATCTTAACCTTTGGACTTTGCCATATTTAAATTGCATCACAGGCGCGAGATTTTTTACAAATAAAATTCTGAAAAGTGCAGCGTGCTTATATGAATTTTTAGTCAGTACTTTGCGCATCGGCAGACTGAAATTCCCGCTCGTTGCTGCACACTAGCTTGAGCTACTGAGTGACAAAGCAATCCATATCCACATATTTGTGCCACAGAAAAATTGGCATGTCTGAGAGCGTTGTAATGGTAAAATAATTACAGCGAAAAAAACATCTTTAAAAACTAGCTCTTGGAAATCCAAAAATATCAACATAATTATATGCTAAGATGTATAGATTGTAAGATTGTTTAATGTGTTTCTTATTGCGCGGTTTTATTTTTCTGGTTTTTATCTCTGTATTCAATATGTACTTTAGCATCAATCTGCCAGTGGGGCTAGAGATGGAAATTAGCCACCTTACTAGTGCTCTCTCATGTGTTTCCGTCTTCATTAATACTTATTGTCCTATTTACAAATAAATAATAAACACAAACTCAAATAGGATATATAAAACATGCTTTCTTCTGTTCTTCTGTCTCAGATGTTTAGCTTGTCTGACTAAGCACTTAGATGATGGAGTCAAGCCAATGTCCTTAAAGGGGCAGCATTATGTTCAACTGACTTTTTGGGCTTTACATCATGTTATAAAGTTTTTCCCTCATCAAAGACACACCTAGAGTGTTGCCTTGACTCTTTCATGGAAGTTTAAGAAATCTTTTAATCTCCATGGCAACCATTCAGCTGTGGAAAACACCTGGGTGGACCCAGCTCCTCCTGCAGGCAATTAGTAAACATGGTGGAAATGTTCATCTGCTGAGCTCATTATAGGAGCTTCTTCGCTAGTAAAAGTGGTTGTTAAAAGATTAATAGAGGAGCCACGTTGTGATGACTTCCTGTCTGAAGGCAGAGTTTCAGAAAGAGCAGGTGCTTCTTAAAGAGACAGAGGCACCAATTTCAAGGTGCTAATTTTAAGTCATATTTATCACACATAGCTTCTTTTTTTTAAGTTAATATAGTTGATTGATTGTGATATACAATGGCCTCCTGTGCCTGCTAAACACATAATACTGCCCCTTTAACACAGTGTTATCAGCACTGCAGAGGAAGAGGGGGCTTCCTGCTTATGAGCCTACCCGGAATGGCCAGGTGGTACAGCGGGGTGTCCCACAGGGCGCATGGCAGGTGAGACATCCAGCTCTCCATGGGCAGCTCCCTCAGGCTCAGCTCGCTGCATCCGGACATGCTGAGCGGCGCCGCTCACTCTCCCTTAGAAAACCACACGCTTAGAAACATGCATGACAAACAGGAGCACCGTGCAAGGAAACTTATCTCCTCATTTCCTTTATAGGAGCTGGGGTCAGGATTAGACTTTAATGAGGCGGAAACTTGTGCAGCGCGTGCTCCGGTAACGGGAGCTGTGCTCGTCTCGCGCACTTACTTGTTCAAACCGCAGCTGCTGACTGCCGACCGGCGGAACCGGCCGAACCACGGGACAGGCTGACTACAGCAGCACCAGCAGCGAGGTACCAAGACGAGCCGCCCATCCCGCAGAGCCCGGAAACAGAGCTGCTTTCTGCGCGGCCATCATTTCACAGCAGCACGTCCGAGAAGGAAAGAAAATCTACCGCTTCTGTTTTTTCCATCAGCTCACTTTTTTTTGCATTGAGTGCGCATTTTTTTTTAATTCGTTTTTTTTATTTATTTTAGATTTTCATCATCGATTATCGATGGTTTAGCATGACTTCCTCCTCCTCCTGAGGTGCACCGAGCGGACAGCGCTGTTGTCCCGCCGGGAGTTGCAGCAGGATGATGCAGCCGGGTGACAGATCAGCAGATACGGAGAGGCAGTTCTCTTAAAGGAGCCCTCAGATTTAAATGGCCTGCGTCTCTGCAGCGGTGTCCCCCCCACACACACAAACACACACACACTACAGGAACTGCTTTCCTCCTCAAGACGGCGGAGGTGGAGAGCGCCAGGTGAGAGCAGGTAATGGGGTGTGGCTCTCAGGTACACCATGCTCCAAACTCAGAGGTCAGAGGTCAGAGTGATGGCGACAAAATAAGTTTTAAGAAGGTACTTTGAAAAGGATGGAGTGAATGGTTAGAATTTTTACATAAAAAAAACACATTACTATAAATGTTATATGATGCATTTGGGATCCCCCCCCCCTCTTTCCTTCTTTCTTTTTTACCAGACTTGGAAAGATGCTGACCAGAACCAGGTCTGACCATGCAGCCGTCTGCTAACCCCTCCCCAAGTGACTCTTTGGACCTTCCACAATAACTTTGCCTAAATTCAAATTCAAAAACACTGCATTACTCCCAAAGAGAAATTAAATGTCGCTGTAACTCAAGTGATTCAATATTCCCGTTATTGTTGATGCTAATGGCTGTTAGCTTTAAATGTCTCCTGTAGCCTTCAGTATTACAGCGAATTTGACGCCTCTGACTGAAACACTTTTTTTTTTTTATTGATATATTTTTAAACAAAAAATGAATAATAAATGCAGATTTTTAGTAATGTTTCAAGTTACTGGATTAATTTCATTGATTTTTTTGGGGAGAACAGAAGGAAGCTAAAAGTACCTAAAATTAGATCATTTTTCTTGTCATTTTGTTAGAAGCCATGTGTCAATTTTCCAGTCTTAAATTGATAATTAAGTGACTTCTGTAGTACTTTCAGGCAACATTCATGAATGTATGCATAAATATTTCCTCTTTATACACATCAATCAGAACAAACTAACTCAGCTCCAGCTTTGTATTAGAACAGGTTTCCCCCCCCCCATGTAAAAATTGGTGGAAGTGTCCGTTGTATTTGGTTTGCTCAGGTCTCCCTGAGCTTCTTCAGCAGGACATTAAACCCTGAAGCAGCACCAACTCCAACCAGAGAGGGGAGGGAGGCAGCCTGGACCATGAAATAGTAATGAGAACATTGTGACTAAAATCTCTCTGGGTTTTGGTCTTCAAAGTCTTCTGGTTCCGTCTTTGCTCGAGTCAAAAGGTAACCAGTTCATTTTCTCTTGTTCCTACAGCTGATATTCTAATTACATCTTCCAAGGCAGATCAGAAAACCATGAATCTGTGGTTTAAATCTTTAGGTTTGACAACGCTGCCCTCTAGTGATCAATTCAGGAAGCTGAAACGGATCGCTGACCGGGAGGAGTATCAGCACGCAGCTTTGTAAAACCCATTTCTGTGCTCCTTTTAAATTGGTATCCACTTGGTTTGTCGATGCTTCTGAGTGGGTTACGTTTTTCAAAGGTGAATTCTTTTGTTTTATAAATTAGTAAAAACTTTTTAGTGAAGAAAATAGCCCAGCATGTTTGAAGCACGTACGCCACGTTTATTACTGAAACATGACGTAGAACAGTAAAGATGGTTGTTTCACAGCTCGTTTTCACATTTCAACTCTGATGACGAAGGCTGCTCACGAGACCATCTGTCCCCAGGAAACGAGGCGGTCGGTCTGATCGCCGCCTCATAATACTTTTGCTGCCACCACTTTCATTATTGAAGGATACTTCGGATGTTGGTGGGAACTAAAACAAATAAAATAGAATAAAGACGCGTCTCGTCCCATTTTGAGACACACATGTAGTGTTTTACTCACCGGAAAGAAACTATAAACCAGTCGAGTGTGGAGCATTCGTTTTCAGAGAAGGCAGCTGATGTGGAAAACAAAATCATAAAAACAAAAAACCTTACGGGAAAAATGATATAAAAAAAAAAAAAAAAAAAAAAAAAAAGGTTGCAGTTGGTTGTAAAAATCTCTCTCAGATGAGTCGATACTGGCCGTTTCAAACTGGATGTGAGGTCCTGAACCCGACACGCTGCGCCCCGTTGTTGCAGCGCCGTCGGCGCCGTGGCTTGGTCCCTGATGAGAGGAGCTGGAAGCGTCCGCCGACGGCGTCACCTCGTCACCGAGTGTCTGGACCCCGCCGAGTGCTTCCCCTTCCGCTGGGCGTTTGGCTGCGGCAGCCCCGCCTGCTGACCGAGCCGACCTTTGGCCTCAGGTTCGGAGTCGCTCAGCTCCAGGTCGGGGCAGTACCCGTCGCTGTCCTGGTGCGGCCGTCTGTTTTTGGCTTTGTGTTCTAGTATGGGTTTGGCCCACTGTTTCTCCTTGGCGGCGCTCTTTCGGGACAGTTTGTCCGAGACCCGCAGGTCCTCCGTCGTCCGTACCAAGTTAATGGTCGCCTCCTTGAAGGATCTGCCGAAACGCTCCATGGCAGACTTGCAGAAGCTACTTTTGTCCAGGTCCTCCTTGGAAACGCCCCGGGTGCCTTGCGTCTGGCGGGAGCCGTCCTTCTGAGCCGCCGCCTTGTCCAAGGCGCCGTTGCACATCACCGCGCATGCTCGGTCCTGGTCCAGTTTACCGTTGCTGTTGGAAGAGTGAGCGTGGTGCACGATGTGCAGGGCCGGGTGTTTGCCGGCGGGCTTGCCGGATGGCGGCCCGCCGCCGGAGGACAACAGGCGACCGTTGGGTCGGTCGTCTTTGCGGGCGTGCAGCTGGGGCTTCCCCTGGCCGAGCCCCTCCGCGGCGTGTTCGTTGACATTTCCGCTGTTGTCCGGGCACAGCGGCCCGTTGCCCAGCTTGGAGCTGCGGTTTCCGTTTCCCGGACCGGAACCTTTGGGCATCTTCAGTTTCAGGGTGATCCTCGGAGGAGGCCGGAACAGCATGTTCTCCACCGGGAGGGAGGCAGGAAGACCTGCAGGGGGTAAAACAGGAAAACATGGTTTAGAATGTGTAAGCAAACGAGGCGGTATGAAACCCGACCCAACAAGTTGGGCCACAGCGTCAGGAAGCAGTGTTTCTGACGGAGCGATGACGGGAGTTCGCTCTGATTGCTAAACGGGGAGCGAAACTCTCAGCAGATACCAAGAAGGCTGAAGGTATTTCAGCAAAACTGGTTGGAAAGTGAGAGAATCCTCACTTTAAGATGTTTATGCCGCCATGAAAAATGATATTTAAGGAAATGTTAGCAAGATTTTAACAACATTTGAACTGAAATAATGCCATACAAGAGGGTTAATAGATTACCCTCCCTCCCCCTCTGTGTTAAAACTGCAATTTTTTCCAGATTCAATTTTCTAAAGTTCTAGGTTTGTTTTAAGATATTTAAAAAAAGAAACCTCTGTAAATATGTATTATATCAGTAAATATTAGTTATTGGTCATAACAATGTTAATATCAGCCCAAATTTTTCTACCGATATGTAAAAACAAAAACAAAAAAAAAGAGAAAAGGATGAAAGGTAAATTTATTAATTGTGGTAGAACATAAGGAAGGAAGCAAGTTAGAAACAAAGGAAGGAAAGGATGTTCAGTAAATATGATACCAGAAAAGAACATTTAAGAAATACAAGGAAAAAAAAACCACAGGAGAGAGAACACCCGGAAAAACGAAAGGATGGAAGTACAGACACAATATTTAAACAATAAAAGAATAAAATACGTAAATAATTTTTTTTTTTTCCAAAATCCTCATTTTCTAATCTTATATGGCTCTAAAAAAATACTGAAATTAAATTTCCTTCTTTTCCAGACAGTTTAAGAACCCTGAACATCCTCCTCCAAAGAAGACAGTAATGTAAGATTTAGGTAGCAACCAAGTGACTGAAAAAAAAAGTTAACAAAATGTAAGTTATTGACAATAAATACTCAGAAACCACAGAAATATAGAAATAAGGAAATGCCTCTTGTCCTCACCAGTGGACATCTCCTGGTTGAGCAGCTTGACATGCAGGTTGAACATTTGCTCCTGAGCTTTACTCTGCAGCAGCTTCAGCTTCTCCCGCCGGCTCACCATGTAGCACAGATTCCTCACCTGCAGACAGGAACGAATGGAAGCCGGCATGAAGACCATTAAACAGCAGAAAGTGAACTGCATGTAAAGAGTCGTTATCTAGCTGGAAAACAACATCAAGCATGTTTAATATGCATATATTATGTGTGTGGCTCAAAACGAGCTTCAGACTCCAAAAGAAATGCTGAATAAAAATCATGTCAGGTTGTGGTAAAATGTCAACATAAGAGTCTGCTAGACTGATTTATAGAGAAGTGACTAAAACCACTACTGGGCAGGGGGAATTGTTTTGTTTTTTGCTAAAAATACACCAACTCAGCATTATGGACTGCTTCACTGCAGTAAAAATGGAAGTGAAGAAGAAGAAGAAGAAAAAAACAAAAAGGAACCAAAAGCACCCACCCGCTCCAAATCCTGTCGCAAGTGCATGAACATGCGCATGCGCGTGTGGATGCTGTCCTCCTGCGGCTGCAGCACCAGGTTCTCCTCCTCCTCCTTAGGGGGCAGCAGAGGCTTGTTGAAGCTGGACTTCCTCTTCAGCTTCCAGTACTGGTAGATGAAGTCCAGCGGGCGCTCGGAGAGCCCCAGCTCCTGCGCCAGCTGGCCCAGCTGGATCAGCGTGTAGAACTCCTCCTCCAGCTCCTGCAGCCTCTGCGCGCGCTGGCCCACCTTGGCCGCCTCGCTGGGCGCTTTGGAGCGGCCTGGGCTGAGGCCGGTGTCGCCGGGCTTGCTGTGCTTCAGGCAGAATGACTTGAACTTGACTTCGTCGCCCTCGTCCAGGATGGTCTTCATCTCCAGGCTGTGCTCGAAGGCGCAGGTCACGTGGAAGGGGATGGTGCAGTTCTTCACCGAACACTGCGAGCAGAGCCGAAACGTTAGCGTGTCGCTCCGCAGGCGCGACTGTTTTCAGTGCCGATGTCATGCTGAGCAGTGATTAGGGCTGAAATGATTAACTGTAGTTGTCGAAATAATCGTCAATTTAGCAATCGATTAATCGTTAGCTGGCATATGCAGCTCTGGAAACAAAAAGATGAAAAGACAAACTTAAAATGATCAGTTTGTCTGATTTTGCTTTTTATAGGTTTATGTTTGAGTAAAATGAATATTGTGGTTTTATTCTATGAACTACTGACAACATGTCTACGAAATTCCAAGCAAAATTGTTTCATTTATTTACAGAAAATGAGAAATGGGTAAAATAACAAAAAAGACGCAAAGCTTTCAGACCTCAAATAATGCAAAGAAAAGGAGTTCATGTTGATTTAGAAATGATACTGATGTTTTAACTCAGGAAGAGTCAGAAATCAATATTTGGTGGAATAAGCAGGAGGTTTTCAATGGGGTTCAGTGCAGTGGGCTCTTCTTTTTTCCAGAGATGTATATAGACTCACAAAAAGACATTTGCTGAAAGAACACACTCAGAGCAGCAAATAAGCCCAAACTGTACAAAATATATACATATTTTGCATTTAAGATAAACAAACAAACAAATAAAAAACTGTAAATATTTCTTTCCGAAACTCGTCAAGTGGCAAAGTTTAAACTTCACCCGGTTCAAATCTTTTCATCTAAAAAAAACTTAAGTCACGTTAAGTATCGATATTCAGTCAAGCAGAAACGGCTGAACTTTTCACATGTTGGATGTCAGAAGTATGTTGGGTTTTTTGCGACATCTCCATCCTTTGCTACAAACGATCAAGCATTCACTAAAAGAATGCTATTGTGTTTTAGGCAATAAAATGTTCATTTTCTTATTCTAAAAAAAAAAAAATTAAATCAAATGTGTCAATTTATCTGATTTAATCGTCAAAGATTCGACAGATTAATAACTAGAATATCGGTAACGCTTTATTTGACGGAGTGTGAATAAGACTGACATAAACATGACATAACATCCGTCATGAACACGAAGGAGTCTTCATGAATGTTGTCTATGCAAATTTGCATTAAAAGTGTCAGCTTAGAATTAGTTGGTAAATAGTGACATTTTTATGCAAAGTTGCATTAAATCTTACATTAAAAGTAAATTAAAACAGTCAAATTTGCCTTAAAAGTAAACTGACCCACACTCACCTGAATGCATGCGCCCGTCTTCAGTTTGCACAGACTGCAGATGAGCGACCAGCGGCTGGGCGGGATGTGGGACACTTTGGTGATGGGCTCCATTCGCTCCGGACAGGCGATGCTCACCTGGAGCGAGAGCCGCCATTAATCAAACGCTGCCGCAGGCAGATGTGCAGCTATCAGGGGGTATTGCTGTAAGGTCTCACACACACCTCGGGTATCCACAGGGCGCAGCTGACGTGAGCCCACTTGGTGCCGGCGCGCGTGGCCTTCATGGCGCCGCCCTTCTTGGGGCACAGCAGGCACTGGGGGTCGATGCTGAGGACGCACGTCCTGCAGAGCCAGTTTCCCACAGGTACTTTGACTATACCATAGCAGGCCTGAGGAGGAGGCAGAGGCTTAGAACGGGATCCAATTGCGGGATCATTGTGATGTCATGCACAGCCAGTGGAACACTGGAGCCACGCTAGGGCTGCAATGATTAATCAGGTTAATTGTGATTAATCGATCATTGAAATAATTAACTGATTTAGTAATCTTTTAATCATCAGCTGAGGTATACAGACTCCAAAAAAAAAAAAAAAAAAGGCCTTGTGCTGAAAGAACAGCAAAATCGATTAATCAAATGCATTAATTAATCAAATTGTCTATTTTTGGAAAATGTAAATTTGTTTATTTCACCAAATCGTTTCTGGGGTTTCCAGAGTGAAGCGAAGCCACTGAAGGACAACCATCCTGTTTGACAAGCAGGTTGGAAAGTTTTGCTTTAGTCGTTGAATTCGGCTCACAGAAAGAATTATTGAAAAATAAGACAGTTATTTTTTAAAGATATTTTTCTGTCATTTGTAAATTTTTTAAGGACAAAATGTAAAAACAGATTAAAATCGGGAACTGAGCTTCTGTTGGTTATTTTATACAAGACATTTGGATAAGTTTAAAGTTTGGGTGTACGCCTATGTTGAAATTACAATTTCAATTAAAAACTGGGGGAAAAAAAGGAAATCAAATTTGACATGAAAAATGTATAAACGTTCTTTGTCCGTACCTTTGTTCTACCCAACGTTCCTCAAGTGGCATTTTTTGCTACTGTAAAGAAGAAAAATCTTCTTCTAAGCACCTTTTTATCTGATTATTAATTCAAACATAAATCAACACATTAGCAGGCAGTTTTTTTTAAATGCATTTGCATATTTTGCTGCAAATGATCAAGCATACACAAACAGAATGTGATCTTGTTGCATTTTAGGCGACAACTTTTCTTTTCATGTAAAAAAAAAAATCTAATTATTTACATCTTTTAATGTATTTCTAATATTGTGTTAAAAAAGGCTTAAACGGTGAAATGAAAAATCTGCAGTAAGTGTCAAATTTTTTATCTGATTAATCAATTATCAGATAGAATAATCGCTTACTAAAACAAAGTTTCTTGCAGACCTAAACAACACAAAACAAGATGTTTTTTATTTTTTAAAGAGACATTATCCTTTTAATACAGGTGCCTGTATTTCCCCACCTGGTGCACACAGATGTTGCACTTGTCACAGAACACCATGTCGTTCCCTTCTTCGCTGTCCGGGGAGCGGCACACGTCACAAATCACGTCCTCGTCGTACTCGATTCCCAGGCCTTCCACCGTCTCTATGGCGTGCTTCATGTTGTCATGGCACTGCCTCTCCAGGGCGTCCATGACTCGCTCCATCATCAGCTCGTCGATGGGCACCTCCCCTGAATGACGGACAGAAACCACCAACACTGATGAAAAGCACAGCGCAAGTCTTTAGAATCAAACCGAATCGAGAATGAACCGATCCGATCCAGAGTATCGGATCGGGGCGCTGGAACGTTTGAGTGACTACTTTAGAATCTGCACAGTTATTTACTGATGCAGCAAATATTGATTTCCCATAACAAGGTAAGATTTTCTCTCCCTTTACAATGACATTTACAGCTAAAGAACGCTTGCATCTGTCTGCATCTGTGATGAGAGCAGCTGAAACGCCAGTCATTAAATTTTATGACGTTCAAAGCAGAACAAATTTTTATGAAACAATATTTTGTTTTTGTTCTTGCACAAACTGGAACTGTGCCGACATACAAATTATCAGCCATACCACAGCATGCTAATGTCAGCCTAGCTTTACAGCACATCTACTTCACAATGAAATATTAGCAGCAGCCAGATGCAAATTTATTGAAAACCTTAACTGGACGTGTTGAGTCACAACAAACATAACAGAGTTAACTTGTGCTGGAAAGTCAAAGTTATGCAGCAGAAAATCTGGTTGGCAGAAAATGTCTGCTGCTCTCGATTCAAAGCAAGAGATGAATGCAAAATTTACTTTTACTGCATTTAAAAACTACTGAGGATTCAAAGAATATCGTTAATTTATTTTCCGATCAGGAAACATCTTAATACAGGTGGCTGACCAGCTTTTTTTTTTTTTTTTTTTTTTTTGGGAAAAATTTTTAATTTTTTTTTTTTTTTTTAAACATTCTA